ATGTTTTTCTTGTAAATAACATATTGTAGAATTGTGGTTTTAATCCATTCTGCAATCCATTTTCATTTTATGGGAGAGTTCATCCCATTCACATTCACAGTTGTGGTTACTATCTGTGTCTTTCTCTCCATCCTTCACCTCCCCCTATTTAAGCTTTTTTTCCTCTTTTCTGCCTTTCCCTCCTCACTAGAGTTTTTGTTTTAACCACTACCTCCCTCAATCTGACCTCCTTTCTATCAGCCCCTTCCCTTTTCTTCCCCTTTCCTGTCCTAATTCCTATAGGGTAAGTTAGATTTCTATACCTAACTGATTGTTATTCTCTCTTTGAGCCAAATCTGATGAGAGTAAGGTTCAAACAATACTCATCTTCTTCCCTCCTTTTCCTGTACTGTAATAGATCTTTGTGCCTCTTCACATGATGTAATTTATCCTTTTCTCCCTCCTCTTTTCCTCTTCTCCCAGTATAATCCCTTTCCATCACTTAATTAGGTTTTTTTTTTTATCATCACACCAAAGTCAACTTATACCATGCCCTCTGTCTGTGTACACCCCTTCTAAATGTTGTAATAAAGATACAGTTCTCAAGAATTATAAGTATCATCTACCCACGTAGGAATGTAAATCATTTGCCCTTACTGAATTTTTTTTTCTTTCCTATTTACCTTTGTATGGCTCTCGAAGAGTCTTGTATTTGAAGGTCAAATTTTCTGTTGTGCTCTGGTCTTTTCATCAGGAAAGTCTGGAAGTCCCCTATTTCATTGAGTGTCCATCTCCTCCCCTGAAAGATTATGCTCAATTTCACTGGGTAGTTGATCTTTGGTTGTAATCCAAGCTCCTTTGCCTTATGGAATATCATATTCCAAGTCCTCCAAACTTTTAATGTAGAAGCTGCAAGGTCCTGCATAATCCTAACTGTGGTTCCACGATATTTGCATTGTTTCTTTCTGGCTGCTTGCAGTATTTTCTCCTTGACCTCCAGCTAAATTCTGGAATTTAGCTACAATATTCCTTGGCATTTTCAATTTGTGATCTCTTTTAAGAGGTAATTGATTTATTCTTTCGATGACTATTTTACCCTCTGGTTCTAGGATCTCAGGGCAGTTTTCTTTGATGATTTCTTGAAAGATGCTGTCCAGGCTCTTTTTTTGATCATGGTTTTCAGGCAGAGCAATAATTCTTAAATTATCTCTCCTGGATCTATTTTCCAGGTTAGCTGCTTTTCCAATGAGGTATTTTATGTTCTCTTCTATTTTTTCATTCTTTTGATTTTGTTTGACTGATTATTGATGTCTCATAGAGTTATTAGCTTCCATTTGCCCAATTCTAGTTTTTAACTAATTCTTTCCTTCAGTTAGCTTTTGTGCCTCCTTTTCCATTTGGCCAATTCTACTTTTTAAGGAGTTGTTTTCTTCAGCGTACTTTTTTCCATTTTGTCAACTGTGTTTTTAAATCAATTGTTCAATTTTTCTTCTACCTCTCTTATTCGATTTTTAAAATCCTTCTTGAGCTCTTCCAAGAAGGCTTTTTCAGCTTGTGACCAGTTTATAGTCCCCTTTAAAGCTTTGGATGTCAGTATAGTCATGTTATCCTCTCCTGAATTTGTGTTTTGATCTTCCCTCTCACCAAGATATTTCTCTATGGTCATTGTATTTCCTTTGTTGCTTCTCGCTCATGTTGTTTGCCTTTTTTTCTGGCTTTTAAAGTTGATCTCTGCTTCTGGGGCACAAGGGACATTATCCCAGGCTTCTTGTGCTGAGGGCTAGGGTCCTGGTTACTGGTTTTGTGTGCTGGGGCCTCAGGTGTTGGCAGCTGGAGGCTGGAGGCATCTGGTAGTTTACCTAGTGTTGAGCTAGAGCTGGTGGTGGTGGCTAGTGTGTGTCTGGTGTTGGCACTTGCCTGCTTCAACATCCTGGGGCTCAGGTTGTCCCACTAGTTTGCTGAGGTGAGCCTTGCCACTGGCTTGCCAGGATGCCTCCCATCCTGAATTAGTCCCTTTCAGCCACAGCAAGAGGGATCTTTCCTGTTAATCTTTCTAGCCTCCCAAGCTAAAAGACTGCTTTACCTCATTTTTCTGCTGGCTCCACTATTCCAGGATTTTTCCTAGGGCAATATTCTCTGGGTTTTTCAAGATCAGTAAGGGAACTTAAGAGCCACTTATTGCTCACTCTGCCATGTTGGCTTCCAGAAGTCAAAATAGGTGACTTTCAAACATTCCTTCTGTGGGCTGATAGCTCCAGGAGCAGCTGCACTGGCTGCAGTGGCTTTCTCTCTCACCCAGTTCTGACAGACCCTTTCTGCTGACCTATTAAGTTGTCTCTGGAATCTGTGGGCTGAGAAATCTGGGAACTGCCACTGCTGCCAGTGATTTAGTCGGGGTTCACTAGGGCCAGATCTGCCTTTGTGATGGCTTTGGCTAGGCTATGCTCATCTGGGTGCAACAGACCCTTCCTGTCAACCTTCCAGGTTGTCTTGGGCTGGGAATCTGCCTCACTCTATCTCTTTGTGAGATCTGCCACACTAGAATTCGTTCAGAGTCACTTTTTAAAGGAATTTGAAAGGGTTTGAGGGAGAGCTCAGGTGAGTCCCTGCTTTCACTCTGCCATCTTGGCTCCACCTCCTAAACTAATAACTTTTAACTGAGCTTCTTCTATAGTAGCTAGAGGGAGGGAGATTTTAATTCTGCTGCACTATGCCTTTGTCAGATCATATCTAGTTATCATATACAGGTCTGCGCACTACATTTTAAATTAACAAACTGGAGCAAATCTAGAGGGAAACAACCAGAAAGGGGAAGCAGTGTTGAGAACTATCCCATGTAGATATCACTTGAAAGAACTGACGTTTAGGAAGAAGAAGAAGAAACTTAGAGGTTATCCCTTGAAGTCTTCAGCCAGAGGCTCATTTTGAATTTTTAATAGAAGATTTTGAATAGAAAGTTATGAGGAACAGTAAGGTCTATAATGGATAGAAGGCCACATTAGAATCAAGAAGATCTGGTTTCAAATCCTTGCTCTAACTCATATTAGCTAGATGACCATAGATAATTCACATAACCTGTCCATACCCCAGAAAACCTTCTAAAACTCCATTTCTGTGGAAAATATTACAACCATGAATTTCCAGAGTTTCCACACACAGAGCTGCTGATCTGAATTGGTGAAGGAAGATTCAATGCTAGGAAAATGAAATCACAGGTCTGAATGAGAGACAGACAGAAGGACAGAAAAAAGAGAGGAGAGAAGAAACAGAGAAACAGAGATGGACAGAGAGATAGGGATAGGGTGGGGAATCTGTGCCCTCAAGGCCATATTTGGCTTTCTAGATCCTTGGGTGTGGCCTTTTGACTGAATCCAAGTTTCACAGAACAAATCATTTTATAAGGCAGATTTGTTCTGCAAAGTTTGGATTCAAAGAGCCACACTTGAGGACCTAGAAGGCCACATGTGGCCTTGAGGCCACAGGTTCCCCAGACAGTTAAAAGTAGACACAAAGAAAGAGAGATAGAGAAAATGAGAGACAGAGACAGAGACAGACAGACAGATGGTGTGCTGGGAAGGAAAGATGTTTCCAACAGGCAGTTGGACTAGATGACTTCTGAAGTCCCCTCCAACTTTATTATTCAATGATACTATATATTATGTACTGTGGGAATATAAAACACAAACTGGAGCTTCTCTGCAGTAGTTCCCAATATACAAAGTTATCTAATTCATCATACTTTTTCTTCCTAAAATTACTCTTAAATGAAGGTGAAGGAATAGAAAAGTGGGTGGTACACTATTGTAGTACTTTGCATTTGATTCCTTGGTATACTTAAAAAGCAGCCTGGGAAGGGATGGAAGAATAATATTAGGGAAGGAGGCAAAGAAAAGCCACACTGATTAAAAAATTTATTTTCACTCTTAAAATGTAAGTGCCCCTTGGGAAAATCAAGATTTACTTATGTCTTAGTGTAAATTACTTTAATTAGAAAATCAGATCAATACCAGATATCTTCTGTACTAAAGTAATCAATTTTAATTGTAGTAGGAAGAAGAGGACATTTCAGAACTGAGGAGTTGGCCTGAGTAGGGTATGAGACTTTGAGCACCCAGGTGAGGTCTGAGTGGAGCAGTGGAGAAGAAAGCAGATTATGGAAGAAGAGTTCAGAAAATTAAGCAACATGAAGGGTAACAGTGGGAGATAAGGCTCCTAGTTATTAGATTGGAGAGAGATTGAAGAGAATCTAGACTGTGAGAATAAGAAGTTTCAAATTGATTGTATAGGCAATTGAAAATGTTTGAGCAGGGAAGTCCAAGATACTTTGTACTTTTCCAGGCACTTCAAAAAGATTAAATTGAAGACTAGTATGAGTTGCTTTTGGTGGGGTGAGGGGAAAGAGATTGAAAAAAAGTCACTTAGGAGGCTATTGCAATATTGCAGTTATTAGATGATGTAGACTTGGATTAGGATGTTAATAATAAATGAGTATGATTGAAGAAGTCTGCAAATGTCTTACCTTTTCTGAAATTAATAGAGATAATTAATAACATTATATCATTAACAGAGAAATTAATAACAGATAATATTGAAAGTGAGCAGTTTATAGAACTTTTATTTTATAACTTTTAATTATAACAATGGATAGCCCAGTGCCTGAGGTTTAAATGTGCTTGTTAAGCTCCAGCAGTCTACAGGAACAAGTAAGCTTCCTGAAACATCTCAATAAAGGTCAGAGAAAAACTTAGGACCCTTGAGCTGTTCACCTAGTAGACAAATGTTAACATTTTTTTTCCTACACTTTTCCTAATCAGTTTGCTTTGGTTTTTCTTTGTGTATTTTCTTCCCCATTCCTTATTTGGAACTTATCTCATGCCCTGTAACCCATTTGTTGCTTAATCCATGTTAATCAATAACATTATTACTGAAAGATGATAAAACATGTTTGTGACACTTTTTTGTAACCATAGGCAAAAAAGTAATAGATTTAAGAATTGATGGTTTTAATTTCAATCTTTTAGACACAACCACAGAGGAATCCATTACAGCTCCTCAGATGAAGCTTAAAAGAGCCCGACTTGCAGATGATCTGACTGAAAATATTGCTCTCAGACCAGGTCTCCTGGAGCTGGTGGAGAAGAATAGAATTCCTGTTGATTCAACTATGAAAGAATCCATGAAAGGTAGTTAAAGCAAAGAGCAATTGTTTCCCATGCTATATGGGCAGACGAGAGCTATTACTCTGCGGTAGCACCTTATGGTATAACATTGTAAGATTGTCACAGTTTTGTGGAGTTTTCCACCCACACAGGTTATTATATGTAACATGAGACAACTATTCTTATATCTTGCTACCCCATCTTTGTCCATATCTGCTAAGAGTTTTATTGCCAATGATAGTTAACACGCTTGATATAATTTATGAGGCATTGAGAAGGTTCCCAGTTTTTCCCAAATATTTCCAGATATTTCACTGTTCCTCAAATTCCATTATTGAGGGATTATTCATTGCCCTCTCCAAATTATATTTTTAATAATACTCCCTGGAAAAGGTAGCACTAAAAACTTTTAAAAAATTAATTTATTTTAAACTTAGATACTAAAACTTAAATTACCCAATAAGAAAAGAAACATATTGTAAATTTAAATACTAAAACTTAAATACAAAAGAAAAAAGCATTGCCATGTGCACAGCAGAATGTAAGAGAGGATTCAAAATATACAGCAATAAATTTTCATTTCAAGAAAGCCTATAAAATAAATACTACACATTGTGTTCAGAGCCGTCCATCTTTTCTTTGCTTCCTTGTAAGTTTTCTTTTGTTCTCTGCTATAAACTTTTTACTTTGTTCTTTTTTTCCCCTTTCCTTTAAGAAGGCTACAATTAAGCATGGAGATATGTATGTATGTATGTACACATATATTATACACATACATATATACATACATATACACACACATATAAACTTACATATACATACATATCCTTAGATATCTATAATCGCGCTCATATATAGACATATACTTTCACATGTATTTATATAAGACCATACTATACTATACTCTGAGGGTGGGTAATATCTTCCTTGATAAGTCCAAGTCTTTCCATATCTTTCTAAGTCCACCAATTCATCATTTCCTACACCACAGAAATATTCCAACTTTATACTCTCTACTTATTTTAAATAGTCTAAACCAATATTGGTTAATATGGCTGACATACAGTGTAGTTTACCTATTTTCCTTTTTTGATTAAATCTATTTTAGCTTTAACTTTGTCTGAGATCATGATTACTACCCCTGTTCTGATCTTTATTTTATGTTTGTGTGTATCTCTTATTTCCTATACCTCCTGACTCCTCTACTTTACTTCTACCCACTACTGTTCCCTCCTATTACTTAACCTACCCCTTTACCCTTTTGTTTCTATTTGAATTTAGAAGACGTTTATATTTTATAGCCTTCCAAATATGTGTTATACCCAAATATGTGTTATATCCCATTTATCTAGATACCCTCCTATACCTCCCCATCCTATTTCTTCACTCTCTTATTTCTTTATAAATTTAGAAGAATCTCATTCCCTTCTAAATGTATAGATTGTTTTCTCCTTAACCCAGATCTGGTGTGAGTAGGGTTCCCTCTAAAAATTCTTCCCTTATCCTCTCTCCCCCATCCCGTTACCCTTTTATTTTTTTCTGAATTCAGAAGATTTTTATAATATATATACATATATGTACATAAATGTATACATGCATATATAGTGTATATGTACACACGTGTGTGTGTACATATATATATTTATATATATATATATATTATATATATATATATACACACACATGTATGTATGTATTGTTCCCTCTTTGACCCATTCCTGATGAGAGTAGGGCTCCAGAACTACCAGCCCTCCTCACCCATCTAATTCTTCTGTGTCACTTCTTCCTCTCGCACCTCATTTGTATAAGATAATTACTCTTTGTACCTTTTCATAAACAGTTTTACTTTTTAGAATCACATCATACTCAGCTCTACCCCAATCTTTCTTTCCAACTACCCAATTACTAGAAATAATCTTAGACATACATTTTACATTTCCTCATATAAAAAGTAAACAGTCTATCCTTATTGAGTCCTTGTTGTTAGTCTTTGATGTATAACTTTTATTTCTCTTGGATCTTGTATGTCAAATATTCTATTAAGTTCAGGTCTTGTCTTTGGTTTGTTTTTTGTTTTGTTTTGTTTTTGCAACAAAATCCTGAAAGTCTGGCAATTCATTGAATGTTCGTTATTTTTTTTCCATTCAGTATTAAGCTTAACTTTGCTGGGTTTGTTTTTTTTTTTTTTGTATTTTTGGCTGCAACACCAGCTCTTTTGCTCTTTGATATATAGTGTTCCAAGACCTGCAGTTTTTTAGTGTCACCACTGCTAGGTCTTGTGTGATTCTAACTGTGGCTCTACCATATTTGAATTGATCTTCATGTTGCTCATAATATTTTCTCTTTGAGCTGGGGGTTTCAGAATCTAGCCATGATATTCCTGTAAATTTGCCTCATCAGATATCTTTCAGGTGGTGATCAGTGGATTTTTTCTATTTTTACTTTCTCTTCTTGTTCTAATGCTTCTTTAATTATTTTTTAAATTTATTTTTCTTTAATTATTTCTTGTATTATTGTGTCAAGAATCTTTTTCTGATCATAGCTTTCAGGTAGTCTAATCATTCTTATGTTTTCTCTTCTTAAGCGGTTCTCCAGATCAGTTGTTTTTCTTATGAGATGTTTAATGTTCTCTTCTATTTCTTCATTCTTTATGTTTTGTTTTATTGTTTCTTGGTCTTTTATAATTTTGCTGGCTTCCCCTTGCCTAATTCTAATTTTCAACGAGTTGTTTTCTTCCTTAAGATTTTGAATCTCCTTTTCCCATTGGTCGACTTTTTTTTTATAATCTTGTTTTTTGGATTTTTTTGTTTTGGGTTTTTTCCCCTCAATCTCTTTCATTTGATTTTTAAAATCTTTTAAAAATTCTCCTATGAATTCTTTTTGGACAGGTAACCATTTGAAATACTCTTTGGGGTGGAAGAGAGTTTCTTTGCTTTAGTATTCTCCTCTGAAGATGAGCCCCAGGTCTTCTCTATTTCCTTGGTAGTTCTCTATGGTTGGATTCTTTCTCCTTTGCCTGTCCATTTTTTTTATTTGTAGTAGCTTAGTCCTTATAATCACCTCTAGTCCTGGGGTATGGGAGATGGTGCCTCTGGCCTCAGATACTCTTTCAGTTCTGCTCTCTGGCCTGGAACCAAAACTAAGAATTCCACCCTCCTGTAAGTGCCCACAGCCATCGGTGTCCTGCCCCACTGCTTCTGCAGTCACCAGGTGTGTGTTGGTTCCTTCTCACCCAAGGCTGCATCTTGGCAGTACAGCTGGGCCTGGTGTTCCTAATCAGTACAGGTTCCCTCAATCTTTTCCTGCTCAGACGTCTGTCTGACTGCCCACACCATCTGGGAGGTGAAAATCCCTGTGGCTGGGACTGAGGCTACCTCCCAACCCAGCTAGCCCCAGGGCTTGCTACTTGCTGATTCAATGTAACTAGCCTGGAAGTGATTAGACTTCACAGGGACCAAACCTCAGTCCTGGGATTTTTTTCAGTTGTCCCAGGTGGACCACTGTTCTGCCCCAACTCTTATTTATTTTTACTACTCAATGTTCACCCTAAGGCACTATTTTGTCTAGTTTATGGGGAAAATCTGGAGAGCTTGGAATTTTCTGACCTGCTCTGCCATCTTACTGGAATCCTCTTGTTACTAAAAACTTCATGTTCAAAATAATGTAGTAGAGAGGCAGCTGGCCTCCAACAGGAAGACCTGGGTTTCAGTCCTGCCTCTGATGTGTATCATATATGTGACCCTGGCCAAGTCATATAATCTCTCAGTGACCCAGACTACTTTCAAAATTTTGGATTTGCAATGGAAGATAGAATTTCCTTGCTGTGAATTCCTAAACCAGCAAAATCACAGGCTAGTTAAAAAATTTTTTTGAACCAATAGAACCTTGGAAGTGTAAAAACACTGGGTAAAGAGAAAAAGGAGAAGAGACTTAGAACTACTAAAGACAAACATCCCATTTCACAATTTTGCCTGACTGGCCCTGAGTGCAATTAACTTATATTAACAAATATCTATATTGATACCAATATACAAAATGATAATGTTCATCAACAGTACTTAGTGCTGCTGAGTCTCTGCTTAGCCATGTATGGATTGTATGCCTATTAAAAGTAATAGATTCTGGATCACATAGTACCAGGTTCACTTCAGACTTAGTCCACTCTGAGGCCACTACATCTTCTTCAGAGTCTAGAACAATCAGTAAGGAAAGTTTTGACTTGGTTATGCTGAGTCTGTGGAGAGGAGCTGATGAAATAAACCTTCTTTAGAAGTCACACCCAGGGGAAAAAAATCTGCCAACCAATTTAAGAGGAATACACAGTTACAAATTGACCAGGAGTCTTTAGGAATTGACCAAGAATTATGCCAGATAGTCCTTATTTTTAATTTCCTCCTCCCCCCAAAATGATCATTAATATTCTTTTTTTCTTTAAGAAAACAGACAGATCAATGAAGAACTCCTTCTTCCAATCAGTCCTTATATGTCCAGAGGAATTTCTCTGCAGAAGCTAAGAGAACAAACTTAGAACTTTAGAGGTGCAAATGATCTCAGTGGTCATCTAGTCCAACTCCCTGCCTAATGTAAAGCTCCTATCATCCAGAGAAGGGAAATGAAGCATGACAAAGTTGACAATCAATACTCCTATCTTCCAATCTCATGAATTTTCACTAAGCCAAAATATAGAACCTGTAGCCGGTTGGTCTAAGGCAGAACTTCTTAAACTGTGGGTTGAGATCCACTGAAGGGGTCAATAGTGGAAAAAGTTTAAGCCCTGGTCTAAGGTAAAATCCCAGTGAAATTTCCCTTCTACTAGAAAGAAAGTCTTCTTTTACACATGGATCTTCTTTTCCTTGGTCTTTCTGAGAATTAAATAGAGAAATTGAGGTGAAAGTGGCTAAAGAAATATTCCTCCCTTAATTGAGACCCTATGAAACAAATACTGATTGATTATATAATACATATTATTTTCCCCCCTTTTGCCTCCCTATAGCACTTCGGTCCTTCCCATGCTTTGTAGCAAC